CACACACACACACACACACACACACACACACACACACGTGCGGCCACAGTTACTCACGTAGTATATTGGAGTTCTCTTAAAACTTAAGCCTGCGTGAAAATAACCGTATGGACAACTCAATAATGATATTCTTTAAAATAACCGATACAAAAAAAGGGAATGGGGAAGTCCCAGACAGTAGTGCACAGATGCTCACATACATACTCACACGAACACGCACAGCTATAAATAAATGGATGGATGGATTGAGTAAGATAAAATGAGATTTATGTGATCTTCACTAAAAACGAATTGGCTACGACACGGTAAATACATACACGTACCCGTACTAGTCACAACACACACACACACACACACACACACACACACACACACACACACACACACACACACATGCACACTATTTAATGGCATGCACTCTTGCACACGTATAAAAGCTGCTCTATAGATTTAAAACGCCATAATAAAAATATCCTTGTCGCTGTACGGTACTGATATTATGATTTAGAAAACATCCCACGGTACATTTAATGCTGAGCACCTGTCGTAATGTAAACCTTACATTACTAGATTCTACACGCACTTCTAGACCGTCTTCCCCCTTTCTCCTCCACTTTACCGTCAACTCTCTTCTAATATTTTTTTTCAACACTCTATGACCTTTATTCTGTTGGTTCTAGCGTTTTCCTTTAACGTCTTCGAACAAAAAATTCAATAGAACCGATCATGTATGTCTTTTGGGGTCTCGCTGTTTGGCTATGTGAAGACGAAACTGCTAAGTGTTTAGTGTTTCCCACATAAAGCTGATAATTCTGTCGTCTTAGGTAGGGCCAAGACTTGCGCTTATCTCTTGGCTTAGGTTTCAATTTCTTCGATTTCACGTCTGATCAAAGCTATTGCCTCTCGTAGAGACAGATCAATACTCAATGAACAGAAGTTATTGATTTTTACGCCAATCGTTGGTGGGGCTTCGTGAGAGGATGTTCTGGTTTTTGCTTTTACTACTACGGGCTAATCAACACGCATGGACGTAAACGCGCACGTACGCAAGGGCACACTGACATACGCTCACACACACACACGCGCGCGCACACACACACACACACACACACACACACACACACACGCACACACACACACACGCACACATACACACACACACACACACTTTTGGTTCTGGTTTTTACTTTTACAACTATCGGGCTTATCAACACGCAAGGACGTTAACGCGCACGCACGCAAGGGCACAC